CCGCCCGAAGCGTCGCCCGTGCTGTCAGGACCCCGGCCGCCCGGGTCCTCGCCTGCCGCGCCGCGCCGCGCCGCGGGGGACGGAACCCGACAGGGCTGAACGTGGGTGCCACGCTGCCTCTGTCCATAGCCCAGCAAGCGAGCGCTGCCCAGCCCCCGGCCCTAGATAGCGAGGGGCGCAGGGGTCTTTGTCCCTCGGCGGCACCGTCAGGCAGCGCCACGGCCAGCCGCGGGGTCCTAACTCGGGCGCGTCGCTCCGGTGGGCGGGGTCGAGCAGATCCTTGGGCGGCGGGCGGCCGGCTGCCGGAGCCCGAAGAGCCGGAGCTGAGATGGCTGGTTCCGGAGGGCGTTTCCCCGCAGCTGGAGCGGACCGGGCCGGGGCGGGGAGAGGGCGAGAAAACCCGGGAGGAGGATGAGTCATCGAAGGGTGCGGGGTCAGGAGCTGGTTCGGTGTGATTTCCCCTGGAACCCGCGTAGGGCCTGCCTGACGCCCAGGTCAGGTCTGGACTAAGAGGGCCGACCCCTTGGGGGAGAACGTATGCAGCAGCGCCGAGAAACCCTTGCCTGCCCGTGCTACGTGGCGCACGCCTGTAATACTGACGGTTTGGGAGGCCGAGGCTGGAGGATCGCAAGTCAGAGTCCAGCCTGTGTAACTTAGGGAGATCGTGTCTCAAAGTAAAATTTATTTATTTATTTTTTGTTTGTTTGTTTTCCGGTACCGGGAATCGAACTCACGACCTCGTGCTTGCCAGGCAGGCGCTGTGCAGCTGAGCTAAATCCCCAGCTCTTCAAAGTAAAATTTAAAAAGGGCTGGGGGTGTAGGTCAGTACAAACAAAGGTCCTGGATTCAGTCTCCAGTGCCCAAACAAACAGAAACCCCTGCTTTGGATCTTTGCCCAGCGAGGCAAACCGCACCTGCTTCTCTAGGGCGAAGTAATTTAAAGCCTTCAGGCAAAATGTGGAACTCTAGAGAACAAACTGCGCCCCGCCCCGGGGCGGGTACGGGGAGCTGTACTGTACTGCAGATCATACCCAGCGCCTCAGGCATCCTGGGTAAGCACTCTCACCGAGCTACCTCCCCAGTTGTTTTTTTATTATTGTATTTTGTTTTTGAAATAATATTCTACTCTGCTACGGGTTCCACGGCTGCCCCGTGACCCGCTTTAGGAGCCGAGAGGTGTGGAGGGGCCCACACTTCCTGGCTGTGCAGGAAAGCGCTAGAATCACAGCATCTGTAAGGCAAGACAACATCTGCTGAGGACAATCTAGAGAATGCTGGCATATTGATATGGAGAGAGACTTTTTCTCCTTACAATTGTTCCCCATTTACTGCAGTAGCTGTTCCAGGAAAAGTACACTATGTGGTGAACACATAATTGGTGAACACATAAAACAAATGAAAATTTGCTGGGCTACTGGGTGGAGAAAAATGTCAGTTTGACCCACAGAAAGAAAAACTATGCTTGATTGTTAGTTTAGTTTGAAAACAAAGTATGCGTCTAAGAACGTTCTGAACTTTGCAACACCTGCTTGCCGGAACCGATAGGTTCCGCTCTTTGCCCTTGCAAAAAATCTTTTCACCTGCTCCAACCAGGATGTGGTTTTCAGGCTCAAAAGCTCAAACTTTCTTCGGTTCAGGGCTGTTCAGCATCTCCCTGCGTGGAGAACAGACTGACAGCCGCCGGCCCGGCTAATAAAGGCTCTTAAAATTCCAATTTGGATTCTGGTCTCGGTTCTTTATTCAGGGTAACCCATTACACACTACCCTTACCCCTTGCTAATAAAAGTAGGTCATCCACACAGATTAGTGTGCCTGTCCACTACACTCAGGTATCAGTCCCCTTGTACCTTGAATATTGTCTTTTGTATCGGAGGTCTGATTAGCCCCTGGCCCCCAGGTTGGATTAGAACTTTTGATCCTCTTGCCTCACCCTCTCAGGGTGCTAGAATTCTATGTGCACACCACCACACCCCTGCTAATTTTCAGACAGGGTCTCGCTGAATGTTCAGGCTAGCTTCAAACTCTATCCTACTTCGTTTTTGCCTGTAACTGAGATTCCAGGCATGCCACTAACCAAAACTAGAGAATAAAGTTTTTCGGTGAGTAAAAAACCTATCCAGTAGCACTTGAGAGATATTGTTTGCTGTTTCTTAGTCTGAGTTGCTTTTTACTTCTCATTCCCTGTCCTTGAGAGCATGGAAGGTTTTCCTGAAGAGCGGAGATGACTTTAACCCTCCCATACTGAGGCTCCCACCCACAGACATTCATGCAGAGCAACAGAAGACACCGAGGAGGTCTGTGGTGATCAAAGATGGACAGCAAAGTGGCATGGCGGGCTCTGAAGACCAATGGAGGCATTTCTATCACGACTGTAGTGTTGGTTATTCAATTGCATATTCATGGGCCTGGGAATATAGGGCACAATGCCTGCCTGGCAAGCTGAAGGTCCTGAGTTCCATTCCTGGTACCAAAACAAAAACAAAAAAAAACCCCTCAGATACATGCAAGATTTGTGCTTTAACTTCTTCAATGAAAAAAAAACCTAAAAATTATAATTAATATCCCTGGTTTAAAAATTATTGAAAGAGCTGGATGTGGTACACGCCTGTAATCCCAGCACTTGGGAGGCTGAGGCAGGAGGATTGTTGCAAGTTTGAGACCAGTCTGGGCTACAAAGTGAGCTCGAGGCCAGCCTGAACTGCTAGGGAGACCCTATCTCAAAAAGATAAATAAATAAATAAATAATAAAAATTACTGGATAGTGCCAACAATTGATTGAGCACCAGAGAAGAATCAGTAAATCTGAAGATGGATGTGTTGCAGATTACCCACAATGAGCAATGGTGGTACACTTGCCCAGAATGCTTGACAGCCTAGGTTCAAACCCCAGCACCACAAAAACAAGCAACAAAAACACAATGAGAGACTGCTTTATGCATCAGCCTGGTTAAAATTAAAAGATAAAAAGTTTTGGATAGGATGGAGCAAAGTTTTGGGTAGGATGGAGTGCAGTTTTGGAATTTTAAGACACTGGTGGTGGAAGTCTAAAATGAGGTTACTGCTTTGAAAAATAATGATAGTATGTTTCAATCCTAATCCCCTAGGCAATGGTATTGGGATGTGAGGCTGATGGAGGTGGTTAAGTCCCAGAGCAGAGCTCTCATGAACAGCATTAGTTCCTTATAGAAGAGGCCTGAGAAGATTCCTGGGCTTTTCTACCAGGTGAGGACATAGTAAGGCACCCTCACCTGTGTGCAAGCACCTTGGCTTTGAACTTCCAGCCTCCAGAACTGGGAGGCACTTCTGCAGTCCATGCTGACCAAGGCAACCTCCCTATGACTCAGCAGTGTAGCCCTTGGTGTTCACCTGAGCAGTGAAAATGGAAGTCAATAGGTTTGTTCACAAATATCCTGAGGGGAGTTACTCATAGTAGCCCCCAACTGGAAACATCAAACACATGTCACTGTGGATGGATAAAGAAACTGCAGAATTGTCACGCGATGTCACATCACATGGGGCGGTATGTAGCAACATGGGTTGTCTGTGAAACATGAAGAAGTCATATTACTGGGCTTGGGGTGCCAAGTCTCCTTCTAGAGATGGTTTCTAGGTTCTTTGTGTCCTGAACAAAGAGTTGGTCAAGACAAGCACAAAAGATAGTGAGATTTCACGTTTATTAAAGGTATGAAAAGAAAAGAAACATGCTCTACAAAGTGAGCATGGGCCAAGTAGAGGTAAGAAAAGACATACACCCTGCAAAGGTGGGCCACTGACAGAGGTAGCAGTGGTGCCCAGCTTGAAGGAGTCTGTCTTTTGTATCTCAGGCTGATGTCAGGTCTAGGCTGTCGTATAAAAACCTCTTTGAGTTCTACTAAGAACTGAAGACAGCACTCTTGATTTGTTCCAGGTGGAGGTTTTTGGGAACTGTTCTGAGCATGTGTCCTGTAACTGATTTTTGAGAGGGCACCCCCACTTGTTCAGCCAGTTTGTCATGCCCTAATCGCTGGCCTTATTTGGACACAAGAATGTATATGACTCCCAGTTTTGAGTTTTAAGAACAGGCAGAGCTTTTGGTAAAAGAACTCAGAACAGCAGTTCTCCCTAATTGGATGCAGTTGGCTAGAAAAGGGCACAGATGGCTTTACTCCTCATTGTTTAAACATGAATTTAAGTTGTGTGTGTGTGTGTGTGTGTGTGTACTTTCAAAGAGTGGTAGAGTCCTCCCCAATCATGAGGGATTTCTCACCTGAGTCAAAAATCCAAGTATTCTGAGAACTGATTTGCAAAATGATGAATGGTGTAGTCAGTTGCCAACCAGGATTCACCTCCATTCTCCAGATGTAGCTGGACACACTGCAGCAGGAAGTCAGCCACTGTGCTGCGCCTTCAACAGGTTTCCCACGCCCTTGGCACCTAACCTGGGACACCAGACAGCAGATGGGACCCAGTACATCCGTCCCCAGAGACAGAAACAGCTTTGTCCTCAGCCCTGTGAAGCTGCCATTACTCGGTGTTTCTATCCTTGGGCTGTTATAGGAATGAGAAACTGCTGAGTCTTGGGGTCTCTGGTCCAGCAGCCTGGTCAATACCTTCACACCCAGATTCCTATAGATCCAGCCAAAAAAGGGTCCTCACCCCCACTGTGCCATCTATGGTTAAACAGATGAAACAGTTGAGGGAAAAATGGATAGAACTGCCCTGTTAAGAGGCCACTGTCGGGGGCCAGGGATACATCTCAGTGGCACAGTGCCTGCCTGGCAAGTGAAGGTCCTGAGTTTGATTCCCAGTACCAAGAAAAAGAAAAAAAAAAAAAAGAGGCCACTGTGGACCGTGAAGTGCTAGCCTGAACTTCCAATAATCTTTCCCAGCTTCAGGATTTACTTTATTGCAACAGAAATTTAGATACATTTCAATTTAATCTTCACTACAGACTGATGCTGGTGGAATGCAGTGATACTAATCTGCAGTGATACTAATCTTTTAAGAATATAGGTCCAAAAATAAATCCCAGATCAGCAGGAAACAGCTGATGATATTTTTAATTCATTTACTTTCAGTATTAATTGAACTTCTTAATTTAAGAGAAACTTTTTTTTTTTTTTTTTTTGGTACTGGGAATTGAACCTCAGGACCTTGCACTTGCTAGACAGGTGGTTGCGCTGCTGAGCTCTATCCCCAGCCCCTGAATTTCTTAACTTAAAAGGATATATGCAAAAGCCCTGGGTTCCATCCCTAGTACCAAACAAGAAAAAGGGATATATGTCCATTGAGATGGTTACCAGCAACATTTTGAACCTGTGGAAATCCAATCACATAGTACATTGCACAGAGAGGAAAGAGCTCAGGCAAGAGGACTTAGGGGTCTAGATTCTCTGGCAGAACATGCTGGGAGGGCTTGGGTGGGCTGAGCAGCAGTCACAGGAAGCAGAATCAGAGATGGCTGACAGAGGTCTGACTGACTCAGGACAGACTATGAAAAGGCATCTACATGCTGGGGAAACTCTGAAAGTACACATTTGATGTTCAGAAGTGATGTTTAGCACACAAGAGAAGCTTCCTGTGAGGCTGTGAGCTGGGACTGCCCCTCAGCAGATCTGCACACTTCAGGGTATTCAGACATGACAGTCCTGTGCAAAACGCCCACAACATCCTTTGCAAATTCCAGGATGAAAGAGGGCTGAACAGCTGAGCGTTCCAGGGTGCCTGTACACCTGCTCCTGCCTTGGAGCTGCTGAGAGCTCTGCCTTCAGGAGGCATCAGCCCCTTGCCCCCCTCTCAGAATTGCATAAAGCTGGTGGGTGTAGGGCCAGGCTTGAGCCCACCTACCTTAGGGGATGTAGGGATGGAGATGGCAACAGTCACCACCCCCCCAAACAGGTGGATAAAGAATATCAAAAAGAATGGCAGAGACAGCTTGGCAACACAGTTTAATAGTGCCCATTGCTTCCAGGAAAAAGACCTTTATCAAAGCACACTTGTCAGAATCTGCAACAGTGAAAGCATGCATAATGGCAGGCAGAGTTCCAATAAATGCTTCTGCTTTTAGGAGCCACTGATTGCTATGCTAAGAATTCCTTCTCATCTAGGAAAGGCTTGGGGACCCTTCTAGCAACTATCATGTTTACCCAGCAAACTGGATGGCAGAGGTGTAAATATTCCCATTTTACAGTTTCCCCCATCATCTGTTTCCTGGGACTGCATGAGGGCTCCCTGACAGTGCTGCCACCCCTCTGTGGCAGGAAGTGGCTACCTCAGTCTGCCAGTCATTCCCGCAATGGCCACTGTGCAACCTGTAGGTGGATGGAACATGGAGCATCTACTGCACGATGTATACATAGCCTAAAAATGTATCTGCCAACTGAGTTAGTCCGGTGCCTGCAGAAGCTTAGCAACTTTATAGACAAAAGCAAAAAGTTCAGACACATACAAGTCCCTGAATGGTTGTTGCAGACAAAAAAAAATATTGCATCTCCCATATTTCAGGAGGTTAAGGCCACAAAAAAAGGTGGTTGCAGGATTTTCACTTAGACTGTAGAGGACCCTCATTGCCTGACTCTTCTATGAAAACCGATACAGTAGAAGCACAGGGGAAAAAGAATGGGGAAAGCCAAACTCTGACTTGTTTTCTTCTTTTCTAGACTTGGTAAAAACATATGGGTTATTAATAGTAACATTTAGCTGAAAACTTTACACCTGGATAACTTTTTTTTAAATAAAAAATAAAGGATGGATGACGACAAGAGTAGCTGGCAGGCACAGCACTGAGATGGGGTGAATCACAGTCTCCATGCTGGGCTCAGCGCCCCCGGTCCACTCAGCACCCTCTCCTTTGGGCTCCCAGTCTATAGCAATGGTGAATACAGCTCAACAAGGGAGAGGCATGTAACCTGCTGCTCTTGCTTGGTCTGAAGCAACAAAGAGCTAGATTTCATCCTGCCTCAAATTCTGGCAGAATAGAATTCTCTGCTAAAACATATACTTGGACAAGGTATGCAACCACATGAGCTAAAAAGGATACTCCAAAATAAAACAATGTAACTATTAAAATGAAGCCCCACCAATGAAATATGAAAACCTTTACCAAAAATAGTTTATTGCACAAAATTTAAGGAATTCCCAAGCACATTTATATTCATAAAAAAATCAACATGCTTCTTAAAGGTACAAACTATTACACATGGTGACACTCTTCCCAGAACTGCCCCAATCTGACCAACTCCATTTTGTGAAGAATTGTTTTATAGAAATGAGTAACTCAAAACCACTGAATTTTTGAGACACTTGGAAGACAGCTCACAAGTATCCTATCCAAAGCCATAGACTGATGAAATAGAGTAAGATTCACAGCATGGAGTTATTTACATCAGTGGTCTTTGGAAGGAATGCCCCATGACAGTTCCCTTTCAAATATGTAGGTCCCTTTCACTCTCAGAATCTTTACACACAACACTTAAGTTTTTGTTAAAAAATGTCATGGAAATAGGAGTAATATATGTCATGGTTATTCTACAGGCTCATGGCTTTTGCAGTATCCCTATACCAAGGAAACTGAGAAAGAGTTTAATATAAGCTTCCTGATGTGGTGTACTACACTGTCTTCTTAGAAGGCCAATCCTGTCCTTTGGAACCAGGCCTGAGTACAGTTTCATATCCTATTGAAAACACTGCCTGTTATTTTTTCTAAGGAGTAGAACAAAGGTGTATAAATCTGTGAGATCCATGGCACTGACCTGACATATACCATGAAAAAAAACCTTGATGGAAACCACATTGAAATAAATTTTCTTTTGAATGTAAGAAAAACAAGTAATGACATCGTAAGTGCCAGAGCCAACATTCCCTGCAACAGGAGATGACAGTGTGTGCATGAGTCACATACACACATACACTGCAGTGGAAAGCTGTCTCACACAGTACTCCTCCCGACCTGACTAGTCTCCCAAAGTGAATCTCAAAACCCCCACTTCTGCCTACAAGCACAACCACTAGAGTCACTGAAGAATCTAGCTCTGGGAGGTAGAAGTGCATAGAGCTCTCTGGAGATAGGAAAAACCCTCTGCAATCAAAAGCAGGCCATTTACAAACCCAAGCTCTTCAAGGTGACTTTGCAAGGAAGCACACAGGCAGTGCCAGTTTGAGCACAGGGCCTCACATCCAAAACCAACACACAGAGATGGACAGGGGCTAGGGCCAGGACAGCCAGGCCCTTGGAACCAAGAGGGCCAGGCAGTGGGGTTGGCACAGGCTGGTGATGGAGCCAGGTGCAAGGGACGAAGGGGCACAGAACAGAGGGGTCACTCTTCCTGAATGGAGGAGTCAGGGTAGCCTGCTCTTTCCTCAGAGAAAAGCACAGTGGCTTGGGAGAAGGCAGCTCTGCTACAGAATGTGCCCAAGGATTACTTCCTAGTGTAGGACTAAAACAAAAGATAATATAACTAAAATAAATAAGAAGGCAAATTACCATTTCTCTTTTCTAATGGTACAAGAACAACTTAGTCAAAAACAATGTCCAACTTAGATAAAAAGTAGGATATATTTATAATGAAGTTTTCAAGCGTTATTTCAAGATTAACCCTGTACAAATGGTATATACATTTAAGAAATTACAATACTTGCTAGGGAATTTTTTTAAAACACCAAATATCTTTGTGGTTAATGCTACTTTAACCATATCAATTAACCTTCTAACAGTATATTACAAAAGAACACAAACAGCTTAAAAATTCCTTACCGTTTTCTCCACAAAATAGATACAAGCAATCTACTAACAGCACACTGGGACTGATCAGTAACTCTAGAACTTCATTTCAGAGGGTACTGGACTTCTCTCCCTCTCTTCCTTCTAATGTTTTCTTAGTAAACTAGGGGTGAGGGACTTTGAAAGTCTTTAAAGACTTAAAGACTTTATCTCTTCTAGTCAGTCTGCAGCACCAGGACCTTAGGTGGAAAACGTTCCAGGAAAATCACCACACTTGGTGCCGACCTCGAAGAAGGCATCAGGCTCTGAGCCTCCGTTCCCAAAAGACTGCAGCCATCTTGCCTGTGGCCCTTGCAAGCCTCTCCCAGAAATCAAGGCTGACTCCAGGTGACACTGGCACCCACATCACAGGCCCCGGTGAACATCATCAGAGGCCTACAGCCCACACGAGGGCCAGGCCTTCCTCCTCCCCTGCTTTCTTCCATACCCTGTGCTCCCCACATAACAGGACAGTGTGGGGACCTTGGCATCCTCACTTGAGTTGCTCAGTAGTCAGTCAAGATGGACCACACTGGGCCAGCAGCTGGACAGGCCAAGTTGTGAAGTGATGAAGAGACTGGGCAGGAAGGAAGGACCCCCAGAAAAAAGTGAAAATAAAACAACAAAGAATCTTTTTTCCTTTTTGAGACAGGGTCTCTGTGTAGTTCAGGCTGGCCTGGACCCACTAAGTACCCCAGGCTGGCCTCAAACTCAAGGCGATTCTCCTGCTTCAGCCTCCTGAGTGCTGGGATTACAGGCATGCGCCATCATGCCCGGCTCAAACATCTTTTCTGTGCAAGAATTTTTGGCTTTAGAGGGTAGAGTAAATAAAATATACTTCTTAAAATATAGTTTTTTGACTGACAACCCTAAATCCTACATGTACATTACTTCCCAACAGCACATTTTCAAGTAGCATTAATAAAAAGACAGTCAGGTCTTTCTTAATCTATGCGTATGCTTTGACAAGACTGTGATTCTCAGTGCTTATATGCACACCCTATGGTGGGATGGCTACTGGAAAAAAAAAAAAACTAAAGAGCCAAAGGTACAAATCAAACACTTCTGCAGGAAAGTAAAGCTCTTGCTAGGTGGGATGAAAGAAGGGCTGCCCAGCGGCCCAGTGCTGCTGCCCCCACACCCTGTCCTGAAAAGCCTCCACCAGGAAGCAGCTGGGGTGCGAGTGTCACCCGCACTTATCAACACCTCCTCCTGCACAAAACCCACCAGACAGACATCCAGAAACTCCCTCCTGAGCTCTAAACTTAAGGGGCTTCTAAGATTTGGTCATCTCATGGGGAAAGCTAGCCATGGTTCCCAATGACTATTTCTCTAATCCTTGGCTCTTACTCTGTTATTTTACTCCTTGTTAATGGCAAAAGCAAAACTTAAAATTTTGTCTCTCAGGAAAATGCAGAGCACACAATTAAATAAATAATATTGGAAATGGCACATTCCTTCACGCAGCTGCACGTTGCCCTCGGTGGTGTTGGTGGTCACTGTCTCAGGCCTTCTCTGGGCACCCTGCCACAACCCTGCTGCTGGGTATCTCCCCGTGGGTGGGCGTGCTCTCCTGGGGGGTTTTCCACCTGAGTCCAGGAGGACAAGGACTCGTGCACAGTGATGGTATGTTCCTCCATTTGCCGCTGCAGGCTGTCCATCTCCTGCCTGGGGAGAAAGAGAAGGCAAGGGAAGAGATCCAGATCACACGGGGCCAGACATAAGCCATCATCCACAGCCACCTCTAACAAGCTTGAGCTGATGGCACTTTGCTTTCTAGCACTGGTGATACCTCAGAGACCATGGAACCCCTACCCAGGGCCAGCAGAACCAGCCAAGGTTAGAGATTAGGGTTCTTGGACCTCCCTCCATCCTGTGCTTCAGCTTCAGGCAGAGACCGGGAACCATGCAAATGACAGACCCAATGGCCTGATGCCAACCAAGTCACTGTGAGACAGGTGCTACCTGAGACCAGTGTCACACATGATTTCCACTGCCCCGGGGGTCCCATATGACCATAACACTGGCCTTTCCTGTCTGATAGCTGGTGGATGCAGAATGTCAGGGCTTTGCTTTCTGAGAGCACATCAAGGCAATTCATCCCAGCAACCTTCACCTTGAGAAGCTCTCATTTCCCAACCACTTGTACTAGCATTGCTGCCTTCCTGCCAGGAGCAAATTCTCCAAGTCAACCCTATCACGTATCTTTACAGTTAATGCAGCATGGGCACATGGCATACTTGAGCTGCTGCAGACAGCTGTTCAGGTTCTTAAGGGGCTCCTTGCTGACAGCAGGTGGAGGTCTCAGCAGCTCCTCTAGGAGTGAGGCTGGGACGGGGCAGTCAGGTATCTTGATTGGTGTCGCTGGGCCTGATGAGCTGGCTTCACTCTTCGGTTCTTTCCTCTGTTTGTAAAAACCTATCATTAGCTGCCCCAAGGGCCCTGTCAGTTCCCCCACCCTCAGTCAGATGGGTGCCTGCTTGATAAAGAGCCCTGGGAGGGGACTGTCCTGGTCTTTGTATCAGCACAGTCTGACCATCACAGGAGTTCAGGAAACACTGGGTGAGCTGGGTATGGAGGCACAAGCCTGTAATCCCAGCACTCTGGGAGGCTGAGACAGAAAGAACAAAAGTTTGAGTCTAGCCTGGGCAGTTTAGCGACTTAGCAAGATCCTGCATCAAAATAAAAATAATTAAAAGGGGGGTGGGCACTGGGGATGTAGCTTGGGGCAAAGGCCCTAGGTTTAATCTCCAGTACCAAAAAAAAGGAAGAAAAGCAGGCAGGCAGGTAGGTTGATCATAGGATGGCAAGGCTTTATTTGTAATGCACATAGCAAAGCACAAATGACCTATGTCTAGAACCTCAAAGAGGATATGGCTGGGCCCTAAAATGAAGTTCAGGCAAGGGCTTCCCAGACATAGCTCCTACTCTGAACTTTCCTAAGAAATTAAGTAGTGCTCCCAATTTAACAGCCTCCTTTCTCTATCACAGATAGCCTTTTCCCCCTTCTCCAAGGAGATTGATCCCAGGGAGTTATATCCCCAGCACTTCTTATTTTGAGACAAGATCTCCCTAAGGTGCCTTGGCTGGCCTCAAACCTATAATCTTCTTGTCTCAGCCTCCTGACTAGCTGGGACGAGAGGCCTGCACGACTGCACCCAGCTAGGACATACAACTTTGACAGACAACAAATAAATCTCTGAGTCAGTGAGAGCTCTCTGCCACTTTCCCTTGCTGACACTCACATGGACTGAGTGGAAACCTGCTGCCATGCTGGCACCTGAGCAGCGCTGATGATGTAGCCTGGAGCCCGGCCCAAGCCATGTGTCTACTGTCTACTGTAGAATCTACCATTATCATTTATTTTCACACACAACTTTTTAGTAGACAGGTTAGCCCAGAAGACACAGGTCTGAGCCCCACCTTGGCCACACCACGGCGGAGATCCTGGTGGAGCTGCTGGTTTTGCTGAAGCAGAGTCTTCATGTTGTTCTTTAGCTCAGACACTTTAGCTTGGAGCATGAATTTATCCTTCTGGGTCATGGACAGGTCTTCCTGCACCACCTCCAGCTCAGACCTGGTATTCTATGGAGAGTGAATTCAGATTTTTAAAAGCAAAAAGATCTGAAACACTGCTGAGACCTTAGTTTGTATGTCACTTCTGGTGGAGTAATTTTTATTTTTTTGTATTTTTGAGACAGGGTCTTACTATGCAGTTCAGGCGGGCCTTGAGCTCACTTTGTAGCCCAGGCTGGTCTCGAACTTGCAATGATCCTCCTGCCTCAGCCTCCCGAGTGCTAGGATTATAGGCGTGCGCCACCACGCCCGGCTTTATTTTTATTCTTTAAGGAAGGTTTTTTAGGAGAGTTTTTATTGGAAATAAGAAGCAAAATTGCTACTGGGAGAAGCAGTAAGAAGGAGAGGTCCTGAATGGGGCAGCCCTGGACTGATTTTTATAGGATGAAATGTGAGATGTCTCCATTTTAGCAGTTTCCTCTCTACCCCCCAAGAATGTGAGGGGCCCAGTGACAATCACACCCCAACATCTCAAATTCCAGAGCTATACCCAAGAACAAACATTATCCATCTGGTTGCCTTCCACAACCAGTCCCAAGAATATAACTACTCCTGGGAGTTCAATGAGCTCTGACTGTGACTGTGGTCATTCCCTTCCACATGAGGAATCTTGGCAAGTCCTTCTGCTCAAGGGAGAACTCTGCCTTAAGTCTTTGCAGAGAAGCTGACTCGGGACAGACACCTGCCACAGGTGCCACCAGAGCTCGGAAATAGATACCTGTAGCAGCTGCTGCGTTCCTTCCAGCTCCTTCCTGCCCTGCTGCTCTGACAGGTTCAGCTGCTGCTTCAGAGACTGCAGCTCCCGCTCCTTCTGATCTAGTTCCCACTTGAGATTTTCCATCTGAAGGAGAAAAATCACATGGGCAAGATACTTATAAAGTGGCACTCTTATACTAGAACATGGCTGTATGCTATTTCTGCTTATCTTTTATTATTTAGCAAAACATAAAGATTCCCTTCCCGAGCACACAGGGCTTGAGGTCAGGGGCCCAATGGTCACCTCTTGGCTCCCCGCAGGCTGCTGGCTCAGCTGCTCGTCCAGCTGCTGCTGCAGGAGCTGGAGCTGGGTCCGGGCCTCTGCCAGGTCCGCCTGGAACTTTGCTATCTCCTGGGAGTGTTTTCCTTCTCGAATCCTGGCATTAGAAAAGTAAGAATGAAATGACTGCATCTTCCCAGTGTGCCCTCCACTCTGGATGTGGCCTGTGGATTGCAGCTATCCTGGTGAACTCCAGACTGCTCACCTCAAGCTACAGATGGAACTGGGTGCTTATAACCCAACGCCCTGGCCCTGAAAAGCTCTCTGGAAGACAGTCTCTGTCTGCACCATTCAGGGTATGGTGCTGAGTGCTTGTTCCCAGACAAGGTGGACAGAGGACTCCAGGGCCATTGTGTGGACACATGCATCCCCAGGCCCGGCCATGCCCCAGTGTGTCTGAGTTGATGCTGTGCTAGTGTGGAGCTACAAGGACCTCTCGATTCCCAGGACACAGCCCTCAGGGTGACAAGTAAGGTAGAAGTACACCAGGACAATGAGGCTTCCTGAGATGGAAGGTGAGTCATCTTTCCCTTGACTGGTCCCGAAAGCAAACTGGTAAAAGCTGCCCAGTGCTGAGTGAATCACAGGCTGGCAGGAGACCCTGGAAGCCTGGCCTCCACCAGGTCACCTCACTGGGCAGGTGGCTGCTCTACCCACTCTGCACTGCCCTGTGGCCCATCACTCACTGCAGCTCATCAGCCTCGGTTTGCAGTGTCTGCACCAGGTGCTCCTTGGCCTGCAGCTCTTTCTTCACCTCACTCAGCTCCATGGTGGCTGCCTTGAAGTGGCGGCGGTTATGGCCAGCTTCCACTCTGGCAGCAGCCACCTATAAAAAAGGAGGAAGCTGGCATTACCCACACAAGGTGCTCTGTGGACCCCTGAGGCTTGACGGGAACCAAACATCCTACATGAGTTCCTAAAAGGCCTGAGGGTGCTGCCACAATGCCCAGCACGTGGAAAGCAAATAGGATGCAGTTGCTAATGTCCACTGAATGAACACACTAATTCACGATTGTCAAATATCTCCATCTTTCTAGTTAACTTTATTTATGTATTCTTTTTTTTGTCTTTTTGAGACAGGGTCTCGCTATGCAGTTCAGGCTGGCCTTGAACTCACTTTGTAGCCCAGGCTGGCCTTGAACTCACAATAATCCTCCTGCCTCAGCCTCCTGAGTGCTGGGATTACAGGTGTGTGCCACCACGCCCGGCTCTATTCATGTATTCTTGAGCAATTTACTTTTCCATCATACTAACTATCTGTAATAAACCTATCAAGTCTATTTATCATGTACTAGTCTCCTTTCTGAAATTTTAATGCTTTGCAGAGCTAACACAGATTCTGTCAAGGTTTCTAAGAGGAAAGCAAATTCTTAAAAGTATCCAAGACATTTAGGTGGGCTAGGCTGCACACTCTTGTAATCCCAGCACTCAGGAGACAGAGGCAGGAGAATCATTAGTTTGAGGCCAGCCTGGGTTAAACTTTCAAAAAAAACTAAAAAACAAACAAACCAATAATAAAAAAAAGAGATCCGGCCAGGTGTGGTGGAGCACGCCTGTAATCCCAGCACTCGGGAGGCTGAGGCAGGAGGATCATTGCAAGTTCGAGACCAGCCTGGGCTACAAAGTGAGCTCAAGGTCAGCCGGAACTGAATAGTGAGACCCTGTCTCAAAAAGACAAAAAATAATAATAATAAAAAAAAGAGATCAATTTTTAACAATTTAATGTTCTTGTCAAATGGCATTTTATTTAAAAGAACTCTTACATATCATTAAAAAGACAACTCCAGGCAGGGGTGTGTGTAGCTCAGTGGTGGAGTGGTGCCCAGCAAGCACAGTGCCCTGGGTTCAATCCCCAGCACCACAAAAGGAAAAGAACACAACTCATATGTAAGGTACTAAGTATCTTAGTATCTAATGACAGTACTGTCATTAGGTAGAGATCTAACATGATCTAACTTCCATGTGTGTGCTTTTCAAAATGCTTGACCATCATGTACTATTGTTAAATCAGGTCAAGCCTAAATGCATTTAGAGAAAAAATAAGCAAAATTCACAATTGTCCTTAAAAAAGAAGGCTAGGTATGGTAGTGCACGCCTATAATCCTAGTACTCAGGAAGCTGGGCTACAAACTGAGTTCAAGGGTATCTTGAAATGTATAGCGAAATCCTGTCTCAAAAAGACAAAAACAGGGCCAAGGATATAGCTCAGTGGCACAGCATCTGCCTGCCAAGTGCAAGGTCGTTTGATTCCCAGTTACCGCCCCCCAAAAAAGACCAAAAAAAAAAAAAAAAAAGAAAGAAATTAAAGTCACATAAACATCATTTATTTCCCCCAGTACTTTTATATACAGATCTCTTAGTTATGTCTTTTTTTTGTTTCCTTTTTTTGTGGTACTAGCTCCGGGCCTTGTGTATGCTAGGCAAGCACTCTACCACTATATCCCAGCCCTTTGTATGTTTTTATTTTGGGACAGGATCTTGCTAAGTTGCCTAGGCTGGCCCTGAACTTGCAATCCTCCTTGGCCTCCTGAACAGCTGGTGTTATAGGCATGCACAACTACATCTGGTTACTTATGTCTTCTTTTAAGGTAAAAATAAAACTTTCAGCAGGAAGCTCACATTCCAATGGAGAGGAAAAAGGCCTGTGCCAGAGCATGTTGTAGTTGGCTCCTACACAAAAAGGGCTGCAAGGAGCATCTTTCTTATCAGCATGTCATCCACATGGGCAGTGTGTGTGCTAACTCAGTACTGCAGGACACTGACACCTGCTCGTAACAGAGATTTATGTGCTCGGCCCGTCCCCCTCAGACCACATCACTGAGTGGCCATCTAATCTGATGCCACCTTTCCCTGACCAGCAGCAGGTCTTCTGCAGCCTGACATCACCACACAGCATGGACAGCAGTGTTCCTTGGAGCACAGCCCTGGAAAGAGCAGAGTTGGAAAGGTACCTCCCAGGCCCCTGTAGGCTGTGAGTGGGAAGCTGGCCACATACCTGCTCCTTGAGGCTGCTTGCTTCCACCTTCTCTCTCTCCAGTGAGGCTTGCAAGGCCTGGATGAGCTGCTTCATCTGGTGGTCTTCTTCCTCTTTGCGCTGTAAAACTGCCTGCACCTAGACCATATTGCAGAAGGATGGTAAGGAGGCACCCCTGCAAGAAACTTGCAGAGCCCACAGTAGGCACTGTGCAGGGAGCACTGCAGGCTGAGCACACGCTCCACAGGGCATTACAGAAAGGAACACTGAAGCAAGGGGATCCCTGCTATGGCAGTAGGCATCTGAGGTCAGGGGTACAGTCACATGATCCCAGTGATGCATGTATGTTGGGTTATAAACACAAACACCGTCATGTGGGAGTGGGAGTGGTGGCAACCAGGGTAAAGAAAATGCTCTCTGGAAGGAGTAAGGGGGCATAATGTGGCCTTTCCTGTCTCTCTGAAAACTCCCAGAAATGCTAACCATTCCATGGGCCACAGAGCAGATGTGGAAACCACGAGCTAAGAACAGTCTGGCTATGACCCAGTTCTAACCCATGTGAGAACACAAGTGAATGTCCATGGCCTCTGTGACTGCCTAGGACTGGAAGACAGTCTGCCTGCCCTGCCAGGATCACCACGCAAAAGGAATGAATGATTTCTGGTTTCACAAGCAGAGCTCCCCACGCTACCCCTGCAGCTGGGAGGTCCAAGTTTGTGAGTTAACCAGATTCTCTGAGCTTTTGTTTGTTTCTTCCTAAGATAAGGAACCTGTGTTTCCCTGAGTGCTCATGGAAATGTGATGTGCAGGACACTGAGAGTGTACTCACCCCACCAGCTCTCACTGTCCCAGCACCTGGGACTGAATACCTGGAGATTCAGCTGAACCAGGTCAGCCTCTCTCTTGGCTAGCGCTGTTTCCAAGATGCTGTTGTGCTCCCTCAGGGCTGCATTGGACTGCCCGAGGCCTGTGAGTCTCCCTCTCTCATGTTCCAGCTCGAGAGCCAACTTCTTATTTGATTCCTCCAGGCGCTTTATCTTCTTTTTGAAGCCTCTGGACTCTTGAAGCTAAAACATTAAAGTGACCAAAATGACCTGCTGTGCTGCATGGAATCACTGCACTCCCGCAAACAGCAGTAAAGCCAGCACATACTGCTCTCAACACATGATTAAGGCTGCAATGGACACAGCAGCAGCTCTACAGGGACCATGGCTTCCCAGGAAGAAGGTCCAGGGACTGCACAGCCAGCGGAGCCACTGCACAGATGAACACAAAATGGGCAGTTCTCAGCAACACATTTGGAGATAGGACAGACAGCTGAACAAAGCAGGCACCCCTAAAGGGATGACTGGCGCCTTAGTACCCCGGTGGAGGGGCTGGGAAGGCATGAGGGAGCCATGGCCACCATGGCTGTAAGTGATAGCGTTGAGCTGGAGTATGTGCCACCTGAAGCTAGAACTGCTTCTCGTTCCAAGTTCTTTTAAAAGTTCAAGTTGGCTTTCTTGTTTGCAACCAACGCCTTCTAACTAGGAAGAAGTTGAATCCAGTATGAATCCTGGTGGCCATTCCAGTGGATACCAATGGCTGCCTCTGTCACTACCCTCTCTAGAGTGCTGGAGACAGTCTGCCTTGCCAATGTGCTCTGTACCAGGCACAGCTCAGGGTTACCTCATCCTCCAGCTCTAGCACCTTCTCCCGGGACTCCTCCAGCTCCTGGCTTGTCATGGCAATCACCTCCTGAAGTTCCTTCTCCAGCATCAGCTTGCTGTGGCCCACACTCTGCAGCTCCACCTCCAGGGCCCGGATTTTTTCCTACAGCAGATGGGGCAGTGTGTCTGGTCACTGACCCAGGGCAGGTCCTCGCCCCACACCTACGAACCTCCAGGCCTGAAGCTGCCTGGCCATGTGCCAGTCGTGCTCTCACCCACTTCCTCTCGTGAAAGAGTCTGAAGTCACTAAGCATAGCACTCACACACTATGACACAGACAGGTACTCTGCACAGACAAAGGATCTTTCAATTAAACAATAAATGGTCTGGAAATACAAAAAAAGTCCAACCTACAGTAAGGGCTCTGTGGTACCTGAGCAGCACTCAGCATACGAATACAACACACACATGTTCACACATTTGAGCACATGTACACATACTACACATGCACTTACATATACCAGTCACACACTTGCTACCACTATTGTGCAGGTCCTGTCCAAAGCACTCTCCCAGTGCCACTCAACTACCTCCTGAGGAAGGACCCAACTTGCTCCGATTTCCTCTAACTGAGGATCAAAGATACATGGTAACACCACAGACCGAACCCATGACTGTCCTCAGCTGTAGGTTCAAGAGATTTTACACCCTCTGCCTTACTAGCTGACCTAAAGGATTAAAGACGAGATATTTTAAAGTAATAAGGAAGATGACAATTGAATAGATGTTCCCTCAATTTTTTTTGGCAGTACTTAGGGATTGAACCCAGAGCCTTGTATATGCCAGGCAAGTGCTCTACCACATCCTTTACTTTCTTTTATTCTAAGGCGGGGTCTTACTAAATACCCTAGAGGGCCCTCAAAGTTGAGATTCTCCTGCCTGAGCCTCCCAAGTAGCTCGGATTATAGGTGTGCCCTATCATATCCAAAACCCTAGATATTTTATAAAGTTACTAGGGAAGGAATATTTACTCAATTAAACAAGAAAGCACCATGTTACGAGATAGTCTCTTCCAACTCATGAACTCTTTTTTTTTTTTTTGTGCCAGCAAACGAACTCATGACCTTATGCTTGCCAGGCAGACGCTGTGCCGCTGAGCTATATCCCTGGCCCAAACTCATGAACTCTTTAAGAGGACAGGAGACAAGAAAATTTCATATGAGAAATACAATGATGAACCAGGTGTGGCAGCACATGCCTCTGTCAGCACTCAGGAGTTCAGGCAGGAAAATCACCATGAGTTTGAGGCCAGTATATTAAGTTCAATGCCAGCAAGACCTTGTCTCAAATAAACAAAACAAAAACATAAAAAAAGAAGGAAAAATAAAAAAGGAAACACAATGAAAAGTATGAACAGTGTAATGCAAACAAATTTATTCAGGAAAATGTAACCCCTTCTAATAAAAGCAACAGACAGTGAGATTTAAAGCTGGCAAGGATATGGGGATTGTGAGGCTCTGCATGTGAAGACTGCAGGGCTATGCATGTGCCATTTCTTGCCAGCAAGGCTGGCACAGGGCCACTGGGGTTCCTGTAAGCACCAGCTGTCCCTCCCCTGAGCCCCCCCAACACAGCACTGCCATTCACCCTAACAGATGGGAGCAGAGGGGTGGCTCTGGACATAGCCCCAGCCCAATACCCTTCTGAGGTTCGTTCTCACCATCAACCCCCCTGTGCCTCACTTGGACCTCAACACTGCCCCTCCCCTATGGAGCCCAAACCTGCCCACTCCACTGCCCTCTTCCACTGTCCTTGGTGGCCTGTTTCCTATCTTGCTCCTGTCACCTCTGGAACACTGTGGCAGAATCAACGCTACCTCCTGCCTGCCTCTCTCACCTTACTGTCCTAACCCTTTGCCTCTAGGACAGGAAAAGGATGGCACCAGCTCCACAGGTGGCTGTCTGCATTTCATTATTGCCAAGGCCAAGCCTGAGCTCCTCCCACCTAAAATGCCCCCTTTGTCCCTCCAGGACCGCCTCCTCCTGCCAAGCACTGGCCCAGCCCTGCTGCACCCCACCTTCACTCAGCCCCTCCTCTGTCCACAGCCCAAGAACCTGGGCTACACAACCAGGACAGACTGCAGGACAAGTCCTCCTTGTGCCTTGCAGCCACAGCAGGGTTTCTCCACACCAAGGAGACTCCTTGGTGAAAACAGGTCCCCAGTGTACACTGCCATGGCTGACGAGGCTATGGATAACATGCACAAGTCACTGATGACACCTGTGGTATTTCAAAGAAATGTGACCACACTTTTCAGTTCTACCAGCTTAAAAAATTCCCTTCTAGATGGGTTTAGAGGGAGAAAATGTTTGTAAAACATCCTTGCCCTACACTCAGAGTCTCTGTAGCTCTGATGGGTGAGGCAGTGATTACCTACATGTAGGACAGTGTCGCTGCCCCTGCTGGTACTCTGGGCTCTGAGCTGGCTCAGCTCCGCGTCTGCAGCCTCTTTGGCAGCCAGGGACTCCTGCAAACGGCGGCTGAGGATGCTCACGGCATTCTCATAGGCCTTGTGCTTGTTCTTCATCTCCTTCTGGGCACTGGTCAGATCTGAGCCCAGCTGTTTCATCTTCTGCTTCTGCTCTGTGATGGCCCTGGGATATGATGGAGACACAGAGGAGGCAGCTGAGCTCCAATGCCATCATCCAGCTTCCTGGGCCCAGCACTAATGGCCAGCAAATGATATCACATTCACCTTCAAGGGCTGGGCAGGGGTCAGACCCAGGCTTATCCCTACCCTGGCAGCTGCTCCCCTGGATGCCAAGGAGAGCATAAGGACAGACAGCAGGTGAATGCCTGTCCTGGTGGCCCTGGGAGGGGAAGGGGCACCCATGGAAGGTACCTCTGGAAAGCCAGAGAAGAAGCAAGAGCTTCATGAGTTTCAGCCATGTCTGCCAGACCTGCCTTCCTCCTGCAGCAGTTTTGAAATGACTTTCTAAGGGCAGGGTAACAATCTGCTCCTACCAAACAGAAGCTTACCTGCATTCTTCCTGAAGGTTAGAAAGAAATCCCATGACCACGTTTATGAAGAAAGCACCCACCAAGAGAAAAATAGCACAGGACATAGCGTGTGGGTAAAAAGCCCCAAAGGCTGTCTGCACATGCATATGCACATGCACAGTAAGTACACACATATGTGCCTGTAAAAGCCTGTGTTCAGGGTTATGTAAGCACAAAATGGGGTGCAGGATAAATACCACAGTGTCACCCCTGGTGGAGGAGCATGAGTGAGGAGATGTCGCCACAAGTACGTGGCACAGAAGTTGATAAAATAAATAGGAAGGGGTGTGTCTGGGCTGTGGGTATGGCTCATGGTAAAGAGACCATTTAGCAAGCACAGGGCCCTGGGGTGGATCCCTAGCACCACCAAAAATAATTAAAGCTGGGCATAGTGGCATATGCCTGTGACCCTAGCACTCAGGAGGCTGAGGCAGGCGGACTGCCATGATTGAGGCCAGCGTGGCTACATAGTGAGTTTAAAGCTAGCCTGAACTACATAACAAGACTCTGTCTCAAAAAGAAAAACAAAACTCCAGGACTATTTTGTAGAAAAAGCAAGAGCTCAATGTTGGTGGAAATTTAACTTGGATCTGAATGCCCTCAGTGACCTTTCCAGAAACAGAGTTAGTTCTCATCACCCCTGACCAGACACAATGCGTCCAGACTCACTTCTTGGCTTCTTGCTGCAGCACTTCTATTTGCTCCTTTAGCGCCTCGTTGGCCTCTGTAAGAGTGACCATCTGCTCTTTGTCGAACTGCAAAGACTTCAAAGGAAAAAGGCACATGAGAAGTGCAGGGTCACTTGCTGCAGATGTCTGCCTTTGACAAATGGAAGTTTGTAGAGCTCCACCACTGTGGCTAGAGCATGAGTGGAGCAGAGGGGCAGGGTAGGTTAGCACGAAAGTTGCCTCCCTTGTGTACCTACCAGGATTTCCCAGGATCCTCCTATGCCCCACTGTAAACCGCTGAATGATGGGTTCCTGTTCCCTTCCTTTGCTGGACTTTTTGGTCCTGTCTATGTTGTGAGTCTCATGGTAACACACAGGGCCTACATGTGCTCCACCCCAAACCTGGGCCACTGCTACCAACTGCTCCCTAAATACAGGAAACCCGACCCAACATGTTTCATGCAGACCTGCAGGTGCATCTCCATCTTGTCCCGCTCCTTCTGTGCTGACTGGAGGTGCTCCTGGAGGTCAGCCATCTGCTGGTGGGTTAGAGACACTTCCTTCTGCAAACGTGAATGCTCTACCTCCACGGCCCTCTTCTCCCCCTGCAGCTTAATTAGCTCCTGCCTCAGCTCCTTCATCTCCGAGTCCAGCCGCTTCTTTGTGGTCTTCAGCTCACCGATGAGCTGGTCTTTGGAGATAGCATCCCGCCGGTAGGCCTCCACCATCACCTGCACACAATACTCACTAGAGTTGGTACCAAGTATGGCCTCACTGGGGCATGCTGGCTTAAACAAATCATTAACCATTCAGCTAGAGTGTAACTTTTAAGCTAGACAACGTATTTCATCCAGTCTAAGACACTATCCACTGAGGCATCCCACTGCTCTGTACCACGAGAGGCAGCGTACTAATGACCTGGGTCTTGCAGGGGGCCCCCAGTCCACCTGAGACACAGCAGCCCTTCTTGGGTTGTTGGCTGCACAGCTCCAATAGGTCCTCCCTTCCAGGCCAGGCAGTGACAAATCAAAACACCACTTAAACCACAGCTTCCTTTTGCAGCCCCGGGGGCACCTGGGTGGGCCTTTGTGCGGAGTGTGGATCAAAGGCATCTGCAGGAAACACCACTCTGCACACAGAATCTGTGTTTCGTGTCTTCTGGGGACAGTAATCTGTTGCAATGCTGGATCACGCTAATCACTTTTCAATGATATTTCACATGGCAGACAACAACCTGCACAGTGACAACAATGTTCAACACACATGGCTCTCTACAGTAACAGCAACAGGGTGTTGTGACAAGCACCACAGTGACAAGTGCCTCACATGGCCCATCTCATGGCCCACAGAGGGTCATGTTCACCTCGCAGACTGTGATGGGAAGTGCAGAGGACCTGGATCCTTCCATCCTCCTGACCAATTTTATTCTACCAAACCCAAAAGACCACACAGGCCTAGGACTAACACGTTTCACTTGAGGGAAATTGTGTCCTACCTTCTGCTGAAGGAACTGCTCCTTCACCTTCTGTGTCTGCTTTCTCAGGGAGGCCATCTCCTGCTGCAAGTGCTCCACCTATGGGACAGGTTTGCATATAGGTAGCCTCAGGGGTCCAGGAGGCCTGTGCTCTGGTAGCACAAAGAAACCCCACACCGGCAGATGGCCCAGGCACTCAGGCAGGACACAGCCCCACATCCTTCTTCCTCACCACGTAACAGCACCTGGGGTGGCGTGGGTGTGGAGTGAGTGCTCTAGACCAGGTGTCCACAGCCCTTCCTCAAATGGCCAGAGAAGAAACCTTTTACTTTCCATGGGCCATGCACCTGCTGCAGCTTCTCTGGTCTGCTTCTGCAGCACGAAACCAGCCACAAACACTATGTACAGAAAGGGTGAGGGTGAGCTCCAGGAACCTCAGTATGCCAGGCCTCCAGGCCCTGTAGCCTTCCACCTAAAGCCTCACCAAGCTGCACCCAACCATGTGGAGATGCTTCTGAAGAAGCCAAGTGACACCACGAGGGCCCTTGTGACACACTGTGAGGAAAGCGCAGGTCCATGTCAAGTGACAGACATACTACGATGTGACAGCCTCCTAAAACCACTGCAGTAAAACCTTGTTCACCATGCAGCAGCTGGTCTGGGTCAGCACCCCTGCCCAGGTCACTGTCCTGAAGATGTGGGGTCAGCGTGTGTGAGTGGGTTACTGCCCTGGCGGTGCAGGTCACTGTGTTCATTTGGGTCACCGTCCTAGGTGTGTGGAAGTCACCATGCTCATTTTGTTAACTGCCCTGGGAGTTGCAGGGGTCAGTGCCCCTGTCTGGGTCACTGTCCTAGGGGAGCAGGGGTCAGTGCACCCATCTGGCATGGACACATCTGTCTCAGGTGGGGAAGAGCCTGTTTCTGTTTGATTCCTCCTTTAAGACCAAAACATGCTCCACATGAGACCTTGTGATCACTAGGGCACAGTAACGAATGAATCATCTTTCCCTACAACATGGATGTGGCTCTAAGCTTCTCTGCCAGGAACCATCCAGGGCAGACCAAGGTACTAGCACATTCTAGACATATCATTCATCCCTTTCAAGCATCCTTGTCATGTGCCCCTGACTTGTGCAGTTCCATAGAAAGGGCAAAAGAAATGGACCCGGGCCAAGGGAAGCCCGTGTGGACAGGGCAGTCTCAGTGATGCCCAAGGATAGGAACACATGCCAGTGAGAGCTGTGGGGACTGATGCCCAGGCAGGCTAGTGGCTGGGGCACAGCTCTATTTCCTTATTAGGCTGCCTCTGGTTTTCAGGTCAGGAAGAGACTTCAGAATTGGGAAAGCAGCAGCCCAAGATGATAGTAACACCACCCTGCTACCTTCCATCTCTTTAGAAAAATCATCGTAACCCAAGGGCACCTACAAGCAGCTTTGTCAGGAACAAGCAGATAAAATGCTGTCTTGTACCAGCACAAGTTCCTTTCACCCAGCTACTAGTCATTACAGAACCCTGATGACCCTTCTAAATGAACACTCCCATGGGAAACAGATCAGAGTTCCTCTTACACTTGACCCTGTGGAGTAGGGTGTAAAGACTGAGCCATTCCCTGATGCTAATTCTTCTCCCTACACATCCTTCTTCGCTGTCTAGATTTTTAAAAATATACTTGCCTATACCCAACTGTGTTATACTGTTAGCCTACTGGCTCTTGCCAGTTATGACCTGCTGTTAGACTGTAGTCTCAGTACTGGGACACCAGAGTGGCCAACAGGCCCCTGCCTGCTCCTCCCTATACATTATCTCACATCAGGAAACCAAGTTTCTTATAGCTCCTCCCTAGGCTCAGGTCCACATCCTCAGAAGACAGAAGCTGGTATTTCTTGGCAAACGGCTTTTAAATGCCCCCAAACCAACTCAAGTTCCTAGTTCTGGTTTCTTCTCATCCAGCAGCCTAGGTGGGCCTGGGGCAGAGCATGAGCCACTCGGATCCCTGCCCTACAGAGTTCTCCCATGGTTACCCATGTTCAGAAAAGAATGTATCCACAGAAGGATGATCACAACATAGTAGTGGGCTAGTTACCTGGCTGGACTTGACAGCCAGCTCTTGTCTCAGCTGCTCTAAAAGTTCTGATGTCTCCTCAGTGCCTTCTTCCAAGCGCCTTGCTCCCTGGTCAAGCTCCTCCTTGCCACTCCTGGCTGCTTGCAGAGCCACCTCTAAGACAATCTTCTCATTCTGCAGGAAGCGGACTGTGTCCTCCCTGGTGGCAGCCTCCCCTTGCAGCTCCTCCAGCTGTGCCTGAAGCTCATCATAGCGGGTGTGCAGGTCGTTGAGGGACTGTTCTCGGGATTGCAGGGCCTCCTGTGCCGAGGTGAGCTGTTTCACCACGCCCAGGTGCTCCTGCTGCAGCTCCATCAGCTGCTGGTCTCGCTGCTGAAGAGTCAGTTTCACCTGCAAACAGGGGTAAGCTTACCCTGCTGCCCTTGCCTTTGTGTTGACAATGCATGTGTTTTTCCCTGTTCAGAATCTAAATAATTTTGATGGACTCTCTGAAGGGTCTTTTAAAAGCAAAATTCTGAGACAGGCATGGTGCCGCACACCTGTAATCCCAACACTTAGGAGGCTGAGGCATAAGGACTGCCATGAGTTTGAGGCCAGCCTGGGATATATACTGCATTCAAGGTTCAGCCTGAACTGCATTGTGAGACCCTGTCTCAGAAAACAAGGAAACAAACAAAAAAGCAAGGGAAAAAATCATCCAAGGCATGAACAGAGGTAAACCTGGCATCCCTCGTCTGATGGTGATTTTTGCACATATTCAGCAGACAACCCAACACAACCCACATTGCCTACATTGCCTGACAGGAGAGGTTGCTACACAGGTTGGCTGTAGGTAGCCCAGAGTGTGCACACTGGGATGGGCCGACAGCCACTGGGCCTCTGTGTGCCTGGTTCCAGGGCTGTTGGTAGCTACTTGCCCGTTCCAACTGCTGCTCCAGGGCCACTGCTGAGTCAGCCACTTTCTGCAGCTGTTCTCGTTCACCCTCAAACTCTTCCAGCCTCCTCTGCAGATCCTCCTCCACCATTGTCTTTGCCTCTCGAATCTGCACAAAGGCTGCTTCCTGATCCAACATGTCAGCCTGGGCCCAGGAAACAATATTTTTTATATTTTTATATTTCTTATTTTAAAGAGAAAAAAAGTAACAAAATAACAACAAAGACAAAAACAAAACAACACAAAAACAATAAAAATACAGAATTTGAAAATAAGATGGTAAGAAATTAACAGTGGTTGTTATATTACATATTGTTATCTTCAATGAAGTTGCTCAGATTACCAGATGTAAGAATGCAAGATTGATCAATTAAAAAGAATAAAAATAATAAAACAAAACATTAGAAATGATACAAAGCTTCACTAAACAAGATAGTAAGAACTCAACAATAGTTGTTGTATTGCATATTGTTGTCTTCAAACTAGTTGTTCAGATTACCAGATACAAGCATGCAAAATTGGCCAAAAAAGAAAATTTAAGCATTAACTGTTCCTTTCAATAAACCAATAGACATCAGCAGTGCAATTATCCCAGCTATCCTTGCATATACATATATATTTTTTTCCCTTCCTTTTTTCTTTCTTTTCTCCTTTCCCTCATTGGTCATTTGTGAAATGCATACTAAAACAACACCGAGATTCCACCTTACCCCAGAAAGAATGTCTATCATCAAGAAATCAACCAATAACAAATGCTGGAGGGGCTGTGGGGAAAAAAGGACCCTTCTCCACTGCTGGTGGGAGATCAGTGTGAAGATTCCTCACAAAATTAGGATTAGAGGTCCCACTTACCCTAGCTATTCCCCTTCTGGGTATTTTACCAGAAGAATTAAAAACATCATACCACAGCAACATATGTACAGCCGTGTTTATAGCAGCACAATTTGTCATAGCTAAATCCTGGAAATAACCCAAATGCCCATCAACTGAGGAATAGATAAGAAAGGTATGATATTTTTATACAATGGAATACTACTCAGCCATAAAGAAAGATAAACTCGAGGATTTTATAGGTAAATAGATGCAACTAGAGACCATATTCATAAGTGAAATAAATCAGACCTGCATGTATAAACATCGTATTATCTGCCTAGTGTAAATATCTGAAAGAGTAAATTAAACCTGAAAGGGATAAGAAGTGTGAAAAGGAAAGAAATTGTTCAAAAGGAACAATATTTTTTAAAAAGCAGGGAAAACTGTCAACAGCAGCCTAGGGTTAGGGAAACCTGCTGCACTGCAAGCACCCTGGTTCACATCTCTATCCTGTGTATGAATGCTAAGTGAGGGGCACCCCACTTGCCACAGGGTGACTGCTAGCATGGGCCTGACCCAAAGAAGGAGCAGGCAAATACCCAGTGTTAAGAGGGGGGAATCTACCTGCCACACTGATATGGACCTGCAGTCTCAGCAGTTTAGGAGGCTGAGGCAGGAGGATCACTCAAGCCCACAAGGTTGAGACCAGCCTGGGCAATAGCTAGACAAAGGTTCAGGAAAAAAAAAGAACTAGGATCAAGGAATGGATAAGCCTCCTTGGTGATTCTCATGGGAAAATGGGGGCAACATATTCTACCTTCTGGAGTATAGTACGTGAAATTTTCTCTTTGACAAGACTGCTGTTCCATATCACTTAGCAAAACAAAGTAAGACACAGGGACCATAGGATATGGTGTTCATTACATTCTGACTGTGTGAATGGGACCTGGCATCTTGGTTTATTTCTTAGGGAAAAAGACTTTAATAACTCAAATTGTTTTCTGTTCTTCTACACTGAGCTCTTGGCCATGTATCCCCATGGAAAATAAGGCAAGTGCAGAGTAGCAAGATGAGAAACCACACAAGTCTGAGGAAAGTGGACTTCTGGTGTGACTTCCTATGAAGGGCCTGGAACAAAACCTGTCCAGCAGCACTCTCGGCACAAGGTGAGAGTGTTACAGTTTCTTTTTTACATTTTCTAACAAGGACATTAAGCAGGTTTTACTGTTTGTTTTATAAAAGAGAAAACTAGGCTCAGAATGATTAAGAAATCCCCCAGGTTCTCACCTGGGGGTGAGAAAAGGCAAGCAGGGGCTGGTGATACAGCTCAGTGGCACAGTGCCTGCCTGGCAAGTGCAAGGTCTTGAGTTCAATTTGCAGTGCAAAAACAAAAAACAAAAAACTTAAAAAAAAAAAAAAAAAAAAAAGAGCAAGCAGGCTTCAGGTCCATGCCAAAGCTACTGCATTTCCCATCATGTGGAGATGACCATGCAGACAGCAGCAGTAATGAAGACCTCATGTGCAGAAGGACTAATCAGCAATGCAGGTGAAATACTTGGAATAATCACAAAGGCCCACACCAAGACATACCACATCATCCAACACACAAGATATGAAAGATCACCCCCATCTACTCCGCTCAGCCCAGGGCCCAAGGTGCCACTGACATGCAGGTCTGACACAGGATTGGGATCCCTAAGTCCTAAGCAGCTTTTTAAAACATGCATGTTTACTATATACAAACATAAGACATATTTATGTTTATATTTACTTGCATGTTTTATGCTTATGACTAAGTATAGTATGTTTTCTCACTTGCCAGTGAGACCAAAGCCGAACAGAAACCAGCACCACCACAGCCACAGTCCTTACCTCAATGCTCTGGAGTTGCACAGCTATGCGCTCCTTCTCCTTGATCGATCTGTGCTGTGTCTCTGTCAGCTGCTGAGATAGCGACACGTTCTCCAGCTTCAGGTGCTCTAGAAGGCCAGCCTGGGTCATCTGTCCAACCTTCAAACAAAGACAGGAAGGTAGAAAGCTGCTCAATTTCAGGCATCAAGTACAGAACAGCCTGCCCCAAGTAAGATTTTATGCCCACCAACAGTGACCAGCTTCCCCTCTTGATGGCCCCTGCAACCAGGGCTGCCACCACCCCAGGGCTCACCCACACAGGCTGCCCCATCTCCAGTCTGGGACCATATAGGTCCTGCATGCCTATGAGCCAAGGCAACCACCCAGAAGTCATTTCTCACCCTAAGACTGCAGTCTAGGCTAGACCCACACACAAGCTCCCATCAAACGTGGACCTCTGAGCCCCAGGTGAGGAGCCATTCAAACAGACATGTGCAGCTGCACCCACCCAGGACCCACAGTCCCAGTGTGCCTGCCTCATCCTCATGGAAAGAAGCCTGGGGCCAGGGCCCCAAGGGGTGAGGGGCAGCAGGGAGAAGCAAGGGCTGACAGGCCTGTGGCTGGACTGTCTCCACCTTAACTCTAATCTCAGTGGGCATCTGGACTGACAGTGTGTAAAGTGTGATGGGGAGGGCACTGCAAAGAAGTTGCTGGAGCCAGGAAGGGAAGGATTACAGTCTGTTCATGTGTTTCACCCTGTGAACGGCTACTGGGAACCCAAGAAGTAGTAGTCCAGGGATAAAGTGGCAAGAAAACCCTAATTCCAAACAGTGAACCTGGCCACCAAAAGAAAGCAGGAAGGTTCTCAAATTGCCACCTCCTTTGGTTCCTCCTCTACTTTTGTCTTTTAAATTGCATTTCTGACTTATTTACACAAAATCTTGCTTACTTCTTTAAATACTTTATCCTGATATAAATGCACTGAAACTTATGGTGTATAATGATTGATGTTCAAGTATACAGGAGTATAACTAATACTTTTCTATACAGTCCATTGGTTTAAGAAGTAAAAGGTGAAAGATTTATACGATCTGAACAGAAACCAGAGCATGGCTTAAGAAGTGTAATATAAATTTAAGAAAACTTCTATTTTGAATATTGGTAACTCTAGATAAAAAAGAAAAAGGAACATTTGGTGGAAATGGTATTTTATATGCTCTATTTGAAAAACAGTTTTAATAAATTGGTAATATTTTATCTGGGGGGAAAAAAAAGCCCACAGCTAAATTTTTGGAAGGTCGACCAAAAGTACTCTAGAGTTCTTTCACTTTAAGCAGTCCAGACACTGAGCTTTAGAGAAAAGCATTCCAGCAGGTTCCTGTTCTTCCCTCTCATCTTTAAAGCAGGCTGCCTGAGGCTGCAAGCCTCATGCCGATGTGCATACACAACTGTGCCACTCCATCCAGTGACACACAGAATGACACATGTTCCCACATAAGCAGAATCAAAAGCTGACGTGGCCTGCAACCAGTAACAAAGCAAAGAAAATGTCCTCTATGGGAACTGGAAACAAGAGTTCACATAAGAATGACTTAGTGGCCAGGCGTGGTGGCTCACGCCTGTAATCCCAACACTTGGGAGGCTGAGGCAGCAGGACAGTTGTGAGTTTGAGGCCAGCCTGAACTGCATTGTGAGACCTTGTCTCAAAAAAAAAACAAAAAACAAAAACCCCAAAACAAAAAACAAAAAAACCACGAATGACTTAGTGGCCGGGGATATAGCTAGGTTGTACAGTGCCTGCCTGGCAAGCACAAGGTCCTGAGTTCGATTCTCAGTTACCCCCCAACCCAAAAAAAGACTTAGTGAGCTGGGCATCGTGATGCATGCCTATAATCCCAGCACGGGGTTGGTTGAGGCAGGAGGATCACTGTGAGATGGAGGCCAGCCTGGGCTACAAAGTGAGTTCAAGGCCAGACTGAAATGTATAGCAAAACACTGTCTCAAAAAGACCAAATAAATAAATAAAATAAAATAAAATAGAACCTATCACTCAGGACCAAAGTTGAACCATTCAAGTTAAAGTGCAGCCCTAGCCAAGATGGGAACGCCTGCCACACTTGAGTGCCTGATGGGAGAATGTCACAGAGGAGGGATGCAGGGTAGGGAGGCTAGATGGGGGGACTCCTGAGACCTAGCAGGCATGGCTTGGGAAGTTTTATCCTTCGGAGGAGGGCTAGAGCTGACTAGCAGAGCCAAGAGCCTGGGGCATCTCAGAGCAGGCATTTCAGAATGAGAGACTCAGGTGGAAACCGAAAGGTTATGTCTGAAGATCACGCACAGGGAGGACCCTGCACAGGAGGGGTACGGACTACAAACGTGGTTAGCAGACTTTAATGAAAACGCTTAGTTTAGATGAAAGCATGGTTCCCCAAGGCACAGGCATATGCCTGCTTTACTTAAGGAAGCCATGGGCCATACCTGGATGTGGGCCACCTCACCCTGCAGCCTGACCCGGGCCTCCTGGGCCAGGGCCAGCTGCTGCTGGTACCACTGCCGGGCATGCTGCAGAGAGGCGATCTCAGCCTGTGAAGCCTGCAGCTTGCTGGTCAGCGTTGTGCGCTCCAGCTGCACTTGCTGGAGCTGGCTCTGCAGGGCCGCCATCTGCTGTCGGAGGTCGTGCACTGAAAGGGAGCAAGTATAGCCCGCTCAGTCCACCAGCACCACTAGAGAGTGCATAGCTCTGTGGGGCATCTGACAGAAAGTTATCAGGTAGACAGCAGGGATCGTCAACGTGGCTATCTCAGTAATTCTGTTCTACAAAGTCAACACCGCATGGTGAATACAGACCACTTCTGCTGGGGAAACACAGGGCTGGGTTCTGGTGAGCTTTCAATCACATGTTCATCAAGCCATGAGTAACCTTTATTTACACATGACTCTTGTTTTTTTCTTTCTTTTTTTTTTTTTTGACAGCAGAATATATTTATTGGGGGAAAGAAAGCTCCTGTCTAAGAGAGAAACAGAAGGGGTCCTGAGTGGGTTGCCAAGGACCGTGCCTTTTCTAGGGATTTTTATAGAGCATGATGTGAGGTAGTCCAAGGTGGGAAAAATGGGAAATCACAAGGTAGGCATGAGGTGGGATACACATGACTCTGTTTAAAGACACTTTATTTAATATCTGTTTTCCTTCCTGAACATCAAGTTTATGGTCAGTAACCCTGAGTCTGCCACGGTGGCTGAGCAAAGTCACCCTAACCAATATGTCTTCTCCACAAATAGCTCACAGCCCCCTTACACTGAGCACACCAGTGTTTTGGGCCATTTAAGCAGCAAAAACATACTGAAAAGGAGCAAATCCACAAGTGTGGGCCTGAAGAGACTACACTGACTTAGCTCACAGCCTGAGCTGAGGGAAAGACCTAGGGCAGAGAAGACCAGAGGCACACAAGAGGGCGGTCTCAGTTGCCTCACATCCCCACAGCCAGGTGCAGGTGGACTGGCAACTGAAGTTTGTCACTCTGCACATGTCCATGAAAGGCCATGGAGTGCTGTAAGTACTGGCTTGCGTGTTACAGATAAACTTAAGAAAGTAGGTAAATTTGGTTATGGAATCTCAAATACTGAGAATCAACTGTGTGTCCACAAAACTGCCTTGGATACCTTGATGTGGTCTTTGAACTGCCTAGCCATGTCTATCAGCCACAAACAAACTCAGCAATGGAGTGCTGGGCTGGCTACCCACTAACTCTTGCTGGTTTGCATGTGTGGTCAGTTCTTAATGTTAGCAAGGGCAGGGTGGGAGGAGCATGAGGTGAGAGCCTGGAGGGCACTGACAGCCCAAATCACAGAACAAAGAAAATCAGGTATTTTTACACTTAAATTATACTGTAAACTTAAAAATGTATTTATCATTCTGAAGATTTTTTTTTTAATTTTTATTTTATTTATTTTATTGGGTTTTTTTGAGACAGAACCTTGCTATATGTCCCCGGTTGGCCTTGAACTATTAGAGATCCTCTTTTTTTTATGGTACTAGGAATCCAACTCAGGACTTTGTGCTTGCCAGGCAGGTGCTGTGCCGTTGAACTATATATATCACACAGATCCTTGTGTCTCAGCCTCCTGAGTGATGGAATTACACATGTAAGACACCTTCCATAGTTCTGAAGCCCAGTCTGTCTCCCTTCCTTCCTTCTTTCCTTCCTCCCTCCCTTCCCTCTCTCCCTCCCTTCCTTCCTTCTTCCCTTCCTTCCTTCCTTTCTTCCGTCTTTCCTGAGACAGGGTCCTGCTATGTAGTTCAGGCTGGCCTTGAACTCACTATGCAGTCCAGACTGGCCTTGAGCAAATGATGCCTCCTGCCTTAGATTCCTGAGTACTGGGATTACAGGTATGTGCCACTATGCCTGACAGAAATTTTAAATAAAAGCTAAACAGGACAGTTTGAGAGGGCCTGGGCTCATTATCTGAAGAGCTTCAGAGATCAGGGTGGCAAGATCTTAGAATGGCAAGAGAGGTGCCTCTGCCTCAAGTCACACATGGCAGGAGGTCTGCAATTTGGCACAGGGCCCTGGCCCTGGCCCTGGCCCATGAGTTATGCCTGGGCAGCATACCCAAACTTGGGTCAGTTCTGCTGACCAAGGAGCACTGGTCCAGTGAGGCTTTGCAACCCCCAGGTACAAAACCATCTTGGTGTTCTGAAATTTTTAGTTCTTAACTTTCTTAAGGGGTTGGGCATCATAAAATGCTCAAAGACTAAAAAATTAACAGCAATCAAAACAGTATTTTGTTGCTCAGTGGACTCTTTCTCTTCTCTGCTGTTAGAACTCCGCCTCTGAGATAGCAGTTCACCGTTCTCACCTGGGTGATCAGCCCAAAAGCCCCACCCACAGCTCCATACTAAGTCTCTGCACAGCTCTGGACACAACTATCCATTCCCTCAGGCTCTTTTTTAGCCTTTCTTCCCTGTTTACTCCCTCTCCCTCTCTGCTCAAATGTACTCTGAGGTAGACCAGTCTTCTTGGTCTCAGGGACACCTGAGATTGTGCGATTAGCTCAGGTGCGGATGAGCGCAAGGGCTCTCTGCACATGACTAGCCAACATGATTCTGTTTTCTCTGGGTTATGAGGAGCCAGCCTGACCAAACCACTGAGCTTAACGCTGGGAGGAGGTCACTAATCCAGAGCCGGGGGTGGGTGGGGGTAAGGGGGTAGAATGTGTGTGTGTGTGTGTGTGTGTGTGTGTTGAGGGGGTGCTTTTTTGTGACAGAATCTTGCTATGTAGTTCAGGTCTGCCTTGAACTCACTATTTAGCCTAGGTTGGCTTCAAGCCTCAGCTGCCCAAATGCTGTGATTATAGGCATGTGCCATCACAGTTTTAAACAGAACATGAAATAAGCAAGAATAAGTCTGGAATAAGCAAGCAGTTCTACTCCTCCCAAAACACTGGATTTTTGAGGCAGAATGAGTGGAAATGATTAGTTCTGATAGTCAAGGGTCTAAAGCCAATTTCTGAGACCTAACTCATTCCCCAGGATATTCATGCAAAAAAGTACAGAATCATGTGAGTTTAACCAAAGCTGCATTCACTTTAGCAAGCAGACATCTTGTGTCAGTGAGGAGCTAATGCCACCTGCAGCTAAGTGAACATCAGCAGCAGCAGCAGCTCCAGCCCAGCCTCACCTGTGTTGTCCTTGCTGAGGATGCTTCTCTGCATGTCCTCAACTTTGGCCATCAATCTCTGGTACTGTTCCTCTGCCACCTGTAGGTCATTGTTTGAAGAAGCCAGGCTGGCATTCTTGGCTTCCAGCATGTTCTGTAGGTCAGTCATGGCCCTCTCCAAGTCCCAGCAGGACTGCTTCAGAGTGTCCACCTCGGAGCTGAGGGAGTCCTGCTTCTGCTGGCTAGTATGGCTGCGCTCCACCTGGGCCTGCAGCCTTGTACGCAGGGCAGCCAGCTGGGCCTGCAGCTCTGCCTTTTCCTGAAGTGCCTGGAAATACCAAGCCATCACACACTTTCAGAAAAACAAGTCACTTCTGTCCAGTGTGTTAACAAGACTGCCAATACAGGGAGATAAATGTGAGTCACAGGAGGTGTGGCTCACAAGCACTTGCAAAACTATATCCAATGTGGAACCACACATTCTTTTCAAAGACTGGACACATGAAACACTCATATTGTCACTTACCTGACTGGCCTCTAGTGATAAAGCCTCCAGCTGTCCTTCAAGTCTCATTTTTTCTTTAAGAACCTGCAACATTTCGTCCTGTGCTTCAGCAAGGGAGCTCTCCATGGACACACTGAAGATAAAGGCTCAAGGTTAGGTGCTGAGATCACGCCAAGCACCCTTCTTACACTTCCCTCTGAATCCCAAACTCCACAAGCCCTGCTGCCCTCCCTCATATTTTTAAAAGTAAGTAGAGACTTCAGTAGTGAACTGGGATCAGATGGGGTGGCCTCCCATAGCAGGCCCTTCCAGCAATTGCCACTGGAGCAGGCTCTGGAAGCATGAGCCCTATGAACATCTGTGCAGATGCAGAGACAGGACTACAAACACTGGAAGACAGGATGTGCCAATATCCCAAGCAGTTGCTGATTAGATCTGATTCTACTTTCAAAGCATGAAGCTGTAAGTGAAATGCCTACATGAACACTACAGGTGGTGTTAAAAAGAAATGCTGTGCCTGGCAGGGGTCTGAGTGCAGAGTAGGAGGCTGAGCCACTGCCCACCTGCTGCAGATACTGTCTCTGCGGCTCCGCACCTCCCCGTTGACCTCCTGCCCCTGGTCTTGGTGCTCAGCTGCTGCAGCCTGGAGAACATCCTTAATAGAAGGGAACTGGCCCAGAGCCTCCGTGGCAATCTCCTGGCCATTGACCAAGTAGGCAGGTCCCTGGGTGACCACCATGTTCCCCAGGACACCGCAGGTCCCACGGGTGGAGAGGCTGCTATGTGAGGAGCTGTCACTCTCATTTCCATCAGCCTCCAACACGCTGTCCCCAGTCAGCGAGGCATTCTCAAGACGGCCATCAGTCTCAGGAGACAGGCTGACCTCAGACACTACTGAGGTACTGCCCCTGCTCTGCTTCAGGGAGCTCCCAATAGAGTTGGCAGCAGGAGTAAGGCCACTGGAACCACTTCCATCTTCAGTTCTATAATCAGCCAGAGACCGGATTTTGCTTGATTTGGAACTCTTTTTCTCCTTGGCATGTGTCAGCAGCCCTAAGCTGCCCACCTTGGGCCCCCGAGGGACGCTGGTGCGCAGGAAGGAGTACTCTTTTGTCATAGCTACGGTACTGGCCCTTGGCAAGTTTTCTGGGTGCAACATGAGTTCAGGATCAAGAGTGCTAGAGAGTCTCATTTTTGTTGAAGGTTGGCTGGACTGAGAAGGAAACAAAAATACAAAAATATGTTAAAATTTGCAGGCAGCACTCTAAAACTGTCACGCAAACAGCCTACACCAATTAATGTCCCTTAGAGTAATGAACAGCCTTCGAGGAGTTCGGCAGGCACCCAGGCCCACTAACCTTCAGCAGGGCCCTGTGGCCACCCGGACCTGAAGCACACTTCTAAGAAGTGGATCTAACATACTAACGCAGATCTCAGAGCAAGTCTCTCCCACCACACTTCCTCCACAGAGATCCCCTGGCTCTTCTATGTTTCCTCTTCCAGGTACATTTTTCCAATTAAAACAAATCACCTATAACTACTTTAAACCTATAATCACTCAGGTATTAGAGACTGTTGCCTTACCTAGAGTCTAAACCCTTTTTAAAATACTGTTTTAATTTTCAGATATTTTATCATTTTTGTTGTTACTATGTTATCTTTTTCCACTAGTTTTATGATTTTTCATATTTGATTTAATAAACTGACAATTTTCTAAACTCAAATTAGATATAAATAATTGTTTTCAATTGATTCTCTGGAGTTTTTCATGACATCATCAGCACCTAGAAATATATTACCTCTCCTCTTTGTTAATATTTCTACCTCTTACTTCTTTTTCTTGTGTCAGCCACAGCTTGCAAAATGGCATTGGTTGAGGTCAGGAATACAGGGGAGACTTTCTTCCTTTTGTTATGTCAGCACAACTTTCCCTTGTGGAGAAATACTCAATCCTGTTACTCTACAAAATCCATGTAATCCCTGGGCTGAGGCACACAGGGGAAGAAATCTCGCAAATGACATGGGACACAGCTGGATGTAGAAATGAGTAAGAACAGCTGGAAAACAATAGGAAGGGTGGGAATAGGTGAAGGGGAGACCAAACCATCCACACATGGACAAAGACTATTATGCCAGGGAAAACCACTTTCAATGTACACCAAGAAAGGATCATTTTCTAGGATATATGCAACTATACAGCCAAGACACCCATGCACACAAGAAAGACTGCATCCCACACATAGGCCAATGGACTGTTGATTGAGGCCACTTTATCCTGAGCTTCAGCACAGCGGGGGCAGAGGATGGTGGTGGACTACCTGAGAGAGTGAGCTTTGAAACAGATGCCACCTCCTGGGCTGCTCAATGCTGCCTCTGGCCTTCCCAGAGGGCTTCCAGGGCAGTGATAGCTGGCAGTGGAGGTGTTTGGTCTCTTCCAACCTTTCTGCCCCAGCCCTTGGGTGGAGTGGGGTGGCTGAGAAACATGTAATGAGCTAGTCACACAGAAAAGTCCTGTCAGGAGCTAAGAAAGTGCCCTCCCACTTAAACTATTAGATATCATTTTTTAGCTTTTATTGTTAGATATATGGCTTTTCAAGATTTGGGATTTTATATGGAACTATTGACACATTTGTCACAAATACAGATGCATTAAGGTGGATGTGTAGCCAGTGCCTCATTACTGCCAAGTGAAAACTCCTGAGTTTCAGTTTTTTCTTCCCAAATGTCAGCTCTTCCATCTGATAGTTGTAATATCTGTATTACATAAAGTCTGCAAGTATTTAACACATGCCTAGTGTGTAGTACTCACTAGTTCTTTGCCCTCACTCATTGTGACTATTGCTGGCAGGCCACCTAGAGAGGTCCCCAAGCTCACCCCTGGCCAGGCATGAGGCCCAGTCCACTCAGGCTGGGGCTTGCTCCTCCCTAGAGCAGCAATGCTCTCCCAGCAGCACTTCCTCCTGGCTCAGGAGGCAGACTCACTCGCTCCTGCTGGCGCTTCACACGGTACTGCCGGAGCTGCTCTTCCAGGCGCTTCCGGGCCTGGAGTCGGACCTGCTCCTCCTTCTCCATGGGCAGTGAAGATGCTGTGGAGCCTGCAGAGAGAAATGGCATCAAGAGGCTCATAAAGGAGCAGGGTGCAGAGAACAAACTAGTACTATACCGACTGCTTCGTGCTTTTCATTTAATTACCAGTATACATTTACTTCTAAACAATGCACAATCATCTAGTGGCCGGGTGATTTCCAGACTGGGAGAAAACTGTGGGCCTGGACCACAAACTAGAAAAGATCTACCTTGAAGGAGACACAAGAGTAAGTGCTGGGTCTCTGTTCATTCAGCATATACCCTGAGTGTGACAGGATTTTAGCCCATAAAATGGGAAGCAGGTAACAAGGACCTCTTGTGACAAAAAGGACCTCAAGTGACAAAAAGAACTGAATTTAAAATTGATATTGGGGCTGTGTGCTGAGTGATTACAGGCACTGCAGCGCAAACTTAGAAGGGCAGGCCCTTCCAGCTTTCATGGACCCAACTCTGCTCTGTTGCAGAGGCCACACTCCATGAGAGGAACGAAGGATAAACATGGTCAGGCTGGCTGCACTCAGTGACACCGTGGAAAAAGCCACCTTATGATCAGCAGCAACAACACAGATGTCTTATGCAGGCACATGTGAAGATACAATTTGATCCACAGCTCACCTTTCACTTCCTATAGTGATGAATCATATTATTAGGTTTTGTAAAATTGAGTTCTCAAATAAGATGGCACTACTCAGATATTATTTAGGTAAGGAAAGAAACTACTGTTGAGTCTGTGGTCAAGATTCACTGCAGAACAGAGACCAAGCAGGCATCTGCCTGTGAGGGATAAGGCTGGCAACATTACCTTCCTCAGGGCTGAGACTCCAGTCCAGATGTCCTGCTCAAGAATGGGATAGCAAAATGATAACATTTTAGCTAAAAAGAGAATTTAAAATATTTGAAACCATTGGGCTAGGAGGGCAGCTCAGTGGCAGAATGCTTGCCTACCTATGCGTGATGCCCTGGGTCTGACCCCCAGCAACACCAAAAAAAAAAAAGAAAAGAAAAGCAAAGAAAAAGAAAAGTACTTGTGAGAAAATACTTCAGCCTTGATCTTAAGTATTAAAAGTGTTGAACAGTGGTCACAATGGAATTGTAGCTACAAAGCCAGGAGGCCAGACTTTTCCAGGGCTGGATTTCTGAGCTTATTTCTTGTGAACAGCAGCAGATGGCCCAGATGTTACCAAAGGACATAAATGCAGTAACTGTATATGTGGCACCTTCTTGGACATGGATTCTGAGGAAATAAGTGGTACCATTTTAAGTATTCACCAAAACCTGGGCAGTTACCAAATTCACTAGCAATCTGCCACTGTTGTTACTAATCTGTGCACTTATCTCCAGAGAGATCTCAAGTACCTTTCACATGGCTGCGTGCAGATGGCTAGGTCATCCCGATCAAAGTGGCACTTTCAGGAGCCACGATCATCAGGCACGTGCCACAAATCAGCAAAGTGGACTGGGCTTAAAGTGACTCATACTGAAGGTTAACAACCAGTTGCATGGACAGAGCTCAGGGCCAGGTGGCAGCAGGAGCTAGGAGGTGTCCCTCATTCCTCGGAAGGTACACCTGCCAGAATGGGGAGCGTGTTCCTAGAGATGCTGCTCTGTGACCACATGGAGGCAGAGCCCACAGATCTTAAGAGCAGGAGCCCAGGCTTTCATGACATCTCTTGGCCTAAGTGCTGGCAGCTCATTTTCAAAATGTTTAAAAACACAAGACAGCCCTGAGAAAATAATGCCTGTGAAGAAAAAGGCCAATAATTCAAAAAGAAAACTGGGCCAAACAGGAAGAGACAATTCACTCACACACACACACACACACACACACACACAAGTCGTGGCCAACAGATAAAAATATGCTCAGATCCTCTGTTTAACTAAAGTAAAAATAAATCATCACAGCATAATCACCAACAGCTATGGTGGTACATACCTATAGTCCCAACTACTTGGGAAGCTCAAGCAGAAGGATGGCTTGAGACCACTAGTTTGAGGCCAACCTGGGCAACATAGTAATATTTTGTCTCAAAAGCAAACAAAACCAAAGAAACAGAGTGTCTCCATGCTGGAAGGATGTGGACAAGGTGTCCTCATAGGTCCTTACTAGTGGACTACAGAAAACACACTGAAGGCCCATAGAGAAGAAAGCCCAAGGGCCCAAGGATCCACACATCCAGATTCTGGCTATGGACCAGAAACCCAGCAGGCAGCAACTGCTGCTGAGGGCTTGCACCACCATAGTGGCCCATAGAGGCAGCAAAGAAGCCACCTCCACGTAGTTCAGACAAGTGGGAAATATGCAATCACAGGAACAACACACTTCCATTTACCAAAACAATGACCCAATTCTTGCATGTTTACAGAAGTCTGCAAAGATCTTGGTTAACATGGCTTACAGAAGCGCAGGACCGTTTCAAAGGTAAACAAGAGAATCTAATTGCATTAGGTAAAATTGTATTATTAAAAACAAGGCTCAGGGCTAGGTATGATAGCCTATAATCTCACACATCTATAATCTCAGCAGTCTGGGCATCTGAGCCAGGAGGACTGAAAGTTTGGGACCAGCATGGGGAACTAAGCAACTTAACAAGACTCTATGTCAAAAAATATTCAAAAAGCCAGGGATATAGCTCAGTGTGAGAGCCCTGGGTTCAACCCTCAGTACTCATCTGTCTACCCAACCCCAGGGATGGGCATGTAGCTCATTGATCTGTACTCAGGGTAAAACAAACAAACTAAACCAATCTACCACCCAAGGCTCAGAAAAAGGTCTGGAGGTTTCCAGGGCTCACAGGCTAGGAGTGTGGGGTTTGTTCATCTCTGTACCCTTAGACATCAGCATAAAAATAAATACTGACTAAAGTAAGTACAAAAGAGTATCTTTAATTGCAAGCAGACACATCTCAACATCGACCTTATCTGCTTGTTGGCCCCTTATCAGGGACTGTGGCACAATGTCAGTAACAGACCACATTGGAGGCCCAACTCCCACATGAATCTTTACTCTTCAAACGAAGCTTCTTCATTGGATGCACCCACCCCCCTAGGTGATAAAATGGTACAGGGAAAGAACCTGAGGGCCACTCTGGGGGGTTGGTGGAGGACAGGGACAGGAGGGTTGGGAAGAGTCGGTGGGAAGGATGCTTACACAGTTGCGTTTCTTGCATGGGAAGACTGAGTCTGAGAGACTGCAAAGCTTCTTTTCTAACACTGCCCTCAGCACTAGTTCCCTGGGACTTCCTTAGGTTGTCATGGAAACCAGCCACACCTGGAGAGGCATCAGGACCCACTGCACTTGTGGTGGGATCAAGAGATAACGGCGAGTCTGAGAACTGCAGTGTGGACCCATTCTGGCAGAGTTGCCCCTGCCCAGGTGTGTCCAGGCGTCCCACTTCCTCAGAAGCTCTGTTTACCTCAACACCGGCACCTGCAGAAAGAAAGCCTGCTGGATCACTGTTGTTTCAACATAAGTCACTTTCAGACATGTAGCTATACAGACCAGAAGAATCCAGACCCATGCATAGGAGCTGGTCCCTATCTTGCAAGCCTGTTCTGAGTGGCAGGGAGACAGGAGTAAGTCTATGCCTCACTGGGCCTCCACGCCCTCACCTGTAAAGTGGTCTCATCCTCCAAAGGATGATTGGGGAATGAATCAGGTTTCCTCTCAGTTTAAATGAGAACACTAGGCCAGTCTGATCCTCTTTACCAGCATCTCCCCCCTCCAGTTACTCAAGCTGGAGTCTTTCCTCTCTTCTTCCCAATTAAAGCCTTTTTTTGTTTTGTTTTGTTTTTTGTTTTTCTAAATAGCATGAATTTTACTCTGTTTTGTTTTTGTTTTTTTGTTTTTGTTTTGTTTTTCTTCTGGTACCAGGAACTGAACTCACGACCTTGCACTTCCCAGGCAGGTGCTGTGCCACTGAGCTAAATCCCCAGCCCCTTGCTTTTGTTGAGACAAGGTCTCACTTTTTAGTTCAGGCTGGTCTTGAACTCACCTATGTAGCCCAAGCTCGTCTTGAACGTGCAGCAATGCTCCTGCATCAGCTTCCCGAATGCTGGAATTGCAGGCGTGCATCACCATGCCCAACTAATTAATGCTTTTTCTATAAATTCATATTTAGTTTTAATTTCATTATAAGTAAAGCAAGGAGCTATACTAGCCAGTAGTTTCTGGCACCCAACATGGGGTTGTTCTAGCCTACAACAGTATTTTTCAGACTCTGAAACTGATAGCGTGGTCACAGTATTGGGCACAGGACAGATAGGACACTAAGATAAGGGATTCACAAAGACATTCAACTGTGTTCAGAGTCTCCAGCCATTATCCTCACTCTGTGGTCTCCTGTATTTCAGGAAAAGCAAAGTCCTATATGGCTGAAACCACCACAGAGACAATCCTTTCATGGGGACAGAACCAGCTTGCAGCCAGGAGGATTCCTCCCACTGGAACCAAACTGCCCCTCAAGTCACAAGATTCAACCTGAGGTATGAAACTAGGACTAAGATAATAATCAACTGGACCCTGATCCATCTCAGCTAACCCTATAAGCAGCCCCTGTCTCTGCAGGTGAGCCAGGCTGATCCCCTGCATCCAGTGTGCCACTCCAATTACTCAAGCTGAAGTCTTCTCTCTTACTTTCCAATTAAAACTTTTTCTGGAAGAGAGAGAGGGAGGAAGAGAAGGAAGGAGAGAAGGAAGGAGAGAGGGAGGGAGAAAAGGAGGGAGAGAGGGAGGGAGAAAAGGAGGGAGAGAGGGAGAGAGGGAGGGAGAGAGGGAGGAGAGAGAGAAAGAGAGAGAGAGAGAAAGAAGAAGAAAAAAAGAAAAGAAAAGAAAAGAAAAGAAAGAAAGAAAGAAAGAAAGAAAGAAAGAA